CACAGTGTTTTTCATATTTCAGTATTGTTTGTAAGCATCTCTCTGAAAGCTTTTGTGTTTTTAATCACAGGGTTTGACATTTTTATCTTGAACACAGTGCGAATGATGTGCGGTCAGTTTTCGCTGTGACACGTTTCTGCGTGTTAATTTCTACAAATCATGGTGCTTTTTGCAGGCTGGTGATGCAGTCATTGACGGAGCCTGCATGTTTTATTTTACCCCTGCTGCTTGTTTCCACTCAACAGTACTGACTACTGCTGGAGGTGTGTGTGTGTGTGTGTGTGTGTGTGTGTGCGCTCTGCTTTGAAGCAATAACTGTGGCTGTGTGTTTTAGTGTTTAGTCCTGTGTGTTGGTTAGCTGACATGCACTGTATGAATGTTGGCTGCTCAGATCCTCAGTAGCTGTCTGGCACATGAAAGTGTTTGGGGATCTCAGTGCTGCGTTGAGGGGCAGCAGTTAACACTGAAAAAGTTAATTCCTGCTTTGTTTAATGTTGACAGGTATTGGTAAGATCTTTTGTGCACTCGTCTGCGGGCGGTAACCCTGTAAGCCAAGTGAAAATGCAGGCTGCTGCTCCACTGTGCAACAGGCAGCCTGTTTCAGTTTTAGGCTTACCAAAGTAACTCTTTATGCTTGTATTATTATTGCAAATGAATGTCCATCTCAGTTGCAAGCTCTCAAAAAACACCTGTCTCCTTTTGTGTTGCATTGGTTTGGTTGTCTACCTCAGCTTGGCACAGGAAAAGCACTATTTGTACACATTAAATATCACAAATTGCATAATCACTTGCAAGAGATGATTCGCACCTTATTGTAATCCAGACAACAAATATAAGATCACCAACTTTATACAGGCTTCATTTCTAGCCCTGATGTACTTAACTGCTTATTACTACTAAGGCTGTCATAATTATCTTTGTAAATGTTTGTTTATTGAAGAGAAAAAGGAAACTATCTTAGATTTGTTGAACTAGAAACATAATGGTGGAACTGTGTGGATTCATCCCTTGGCTATTTTTACAACATGACACCACAGACCTTCACACACTGAATTGTGGCTTGCTTCTTTTTGCTGTGAGTTATCATGCATGATGATTTTACTGGCCTGTGGCTCACACATTCTCTCCATGTTTAGTCATGTTTGGTGGTTGTGAACGTGTGCCTTAGGCCAACGTCTTGAACGCCACTGCTCCCTGTTAGCAGTGACACGCACTGTTACATACCAGAGTGGGGGGAGACTTCAGTTCACCTGAAGGGATGTGAAAAATGTCATTCATCTTCACATGCACCTGTTGATTTTCTAATTCATCATCATGACAAATAAACAATGTTTCTATTTTCTTGTGTTAACACTTTTGTTTACAGTTAAAATGTTTCACAAATTTAAAAATGAATTGCTTTTTATATTTTGATATATACACACACACACACACAACTAAATTCATAACCTTTTTCACAAAGAGACCTTGTATTTGAAATTCAAAGTATATTCTAAAGTATAACTTTTACTAGACAATCACATGTTCATTGTACACTACTGCAGCAGCTGCCTTCAAAGGCAAACATTGAGTTTACGAAAATTATCCTAGTGCCAGCACAGTCATTCACTGGAAAGGGGCAGTGAAGTGCACATTGAGAGTAAAGGCATTTCAGATGGCTTCTAGTGCTGTCTGATGGGTCATATCTGTGATGACTCCAGCCACAGCGAGGAGCTCTTGGCACGCCGCTGTTGAGAGTCCAGCTTCAGCAGTGCTGTCACAGCAGCCTCTATCTTTGCCATCCACTCTCTCTGGAAAACACACATGACCGAGCAGAAGTGTCATCGGGGGACAGCTGTTTGGATGGACTGTCCAGATGATGTCGAATATTTTATTTGTATACTGTAGCTTCTCATTTGTAGAGTATGATGATAACGTACATGCTAAAGCTTCAAAAACTGCTCCCCTATCTGGTGACTTAAACACTTTTTATCCATTTACAGAAAAATAACTTAAAACAGAAAACATAATATTAATAAACCATTATTTAACCTAGCATGACCAAGCTGGGATAAAATTAAACATTTATAAAAGACATTTGTGCAGATATGTTTATAAATCTGTATTTCTATAGTACATCTAATTTCATGTCTGAGTGACCTGCATACAAAACAGCCTTGAGAAATACAAAGATTATTAAGGATACAAAAACCCTAAAGTATGGTTGTGGTTCTCCGTGTACTGTGGCAGTGTGTATTGATACTGTTCACACATCAGAAATGTTTGGATACAGTCATGTGAAAAAATTGGGACACCCTTTGAAAGCATGTGTATTTTGTAACATGTTTTAATATATGATTATTTAATCTCAATTTTAACTACAGAGAGATTAAAGTAATACAACTAAACCAGTAAAACTGAAGAAAGTGTTACCTCCTTTGGCTGAAATAACTGCAGTGAGACGGTTCTTGTAGCCATCTACCAGTCTCTGACATCGGTCTGAGGGAATTTTACCCCACTCCTCAATGCAGAATTGTTTCAGCTGTGAGATGTTTGAGGGGTTTCTTGCATGTACAGCCCTTTTCAAGTCACCCCACAGCATCGCAATGGGATTCATATCTGGACTTTGACTCTGCCATTCCAGGACTCTCTATTTCTTCTTTTTCAGCCAGTCTTTGGTTAATTTACTAGTATGTTTTGGGTCATTGTCATGTTGCATGGTCCAGTTCCGCTTCAGCTTTAATTTTCTAACCGATAGTCTCACATGTTCTTCAAGCACCTTCTGATACACAGTAGAATTCATGGTGGATTCTGTGATGGTGAGCTGACCAGGTCCTGCTGCAGCAAAGCAGCCCCAAACCATGACACTTCCACCTCCATCACACAGTTGGTATGAGGTTCTTTTCCTGGAATTCTGTGTTTGGTTTACGCCAAACATGTCCTCTGCTCTGGTGTCCAAATAATTCAATGTGGAATAATTCTTCCACATATAATAATAATGTTCTTTGGACTAATCTGTCCAAAGAACATTATTCCAGAAGTCCTGGTCTTTGTCAACATTCTCTCTGGTAAATGTCAGTCTGGCCTTGATGTTTCTCTTAGAGAGCAAAGGTTTCCTCCTTGCACACCTTCCATGCAAGATAAACCTGTGCAGTCTCTTTCTGATTGTAAAGGCAAGCACTTCTACATCAACAGTAGCCAGAGCCTGCTGTAGGTCTCGAGATGACATTTTAGGGTTTTTGGAGACCTCTTTTAGCATCTTGCGGTCTGCTCTTGGGGTGAACTTGCTGGGGCGACCAGACCTGGGCATGTTGGCAGTTGTTTTGAAAGCCCTCCACTTGTAGACTATCTTCCGGACAGTGGAATGGCTGATTTCAAAATCTTTTGAGATCTTTTTAAATCCTTTACCAGACTCATAGGCTGCTACAATGTTTTTTCTGAAGGCCTCTGACAGCTCTTTCGCTCTCACCATGGTGCTCACTCTCACTTCAACAGTCAGGAGCACACCAAACTAAATGTTTGAGGTTTAGATGGGGCAAGCCTCATTCAAAATGCTGAGTAACGATCTACTAATCATGTGCACCTGGTGTGATTTGAGCCATTTTAAGAGGGCATACATGTGAGGGTGTGCTATCTTTTTCCTCAGAATAGGCATTTTTGTAGAATTACATTTACAGAAGATCTTGAAAAGACTTTTCTTCAGTTTTGTTTAGTTGTATTACTTTAATCTGTCTTGTTAAAATTGAGATTAAATAACCATATATTAAGAAATGTTACAAAATACACATGCTTTCAAAGGGTGTCCTAATTTTTTCACGACTGTATATCACACATGTAACGCTGCACATCTGTGTGGTATGTACATAACATTTTTTTGAGCAAATTGTAAATCGGTCATCCACCAGCTCTTACTGGACTGCATGACTTTTGAAACGACTCAAATTCATAGTTACTGTAAATTGAAGTACCTTGGCAGACTCTGACGCAGCTTGCAGGATGAACGCACCGATACACTGCTGGTAGCGGTTCTGGTGCATGATTATGAAAGAATGAGGCAGCCCTGATGCTACAAGTCAAGCACAAAACATCAGCTGTTAACACACATTGTTGGCTAATTAAAAACTACGGTTTACAATTACAGCATCAAATATGCCAGTTTAATGTGTTCTCACTATAGATTATATCTAGTCCTTAAAATCCAAACAAACAATGTCTGAGACACTAGTACTCTTAAGAATTACTTGAGGCGATGTTCTTGAGCTGGAGTCGATCCAGAGACACGGGCTGGTCAAGGACTGTGAAGGTGCACCCGTCCTTCAGCAGCTGATCCAGCTCCTGGTTCTGCGGCAGCCTCAGAGGATTCTGCTCTGAGCTACTGAACCTCTACACAGGAACACAAGGTGAACAATTTAAGTCAAAGCTTATGTAGTTACTTTCAGTATACTGATAATCTGTCACTGGTGCAAATGAGTGCGAGACGAGGACAACAGAGTGACGTACCTTCTTGTTTCTCTTTATCTTTGTGATCAGCAGGATTTTTTTAGGAACAGATACACATCTATCAGCTTTGTGTTCTCTGGTAATAAACCACAGGAAGATGGTGTAAGATTCCGCTCAAATCAAGGCACTAAGGATGTACAGTAAAACGTGATGGATTTAGGCCATCTGTCCACACCTGTGAGAACCAGCTTCCCGTCATGTAGCAGACTTCTATGAGAAATGAGATTTTCCAGAGTGACGGTCTTCAAGAGGTGTTTCAGATTCTGAGAGAAAAGCAGTCCCCCAGGTGAGAACATGTTCACCTTTTGGCATGTAAACTGACAATGAAAGATTTGATTTTCTGACACCAAAGAGCTACTGTAATGACATGCTGCACAGAAATAGTTTCCTTTGCTTTGAGGATTCCCTCTAGTCCTGTCAGTACACCGAGCACCCATGGTAGTGATACTTGTCAGACAGCGACTGCAACATTATTAGCCACTCCATGTTGATAATAATTGTGTTGTGCATAATGGAACTTGTGATGTGTCAGGGTCTGCTACCCTAAATGTGTCCACTAGATGTCAGTAGTAATAATGGGCTGAACCATTTGGTCAAATTACTGGCTGGGAAGCTTCAATACCTGAATGAGGCTTCATCTCACCATCACTTTCCTAGACACAAATGTTAATATATACACAAACATGTATAACAAGAAGGACCTCAGGAATGAAGGCACGCTTGTCTCTCTCCCATACAGGAAGCCACACCAGGGCATCTCGCAACTGTTTCACCATCTGGTAGTTATCCAGCCATTTGACCTTTCCTTCTAAATCACCTGGAAAAATGATGGAATCACTTCAGTCAACAGGAACAAAAACATACAAGACAGTGGTGTTTTAGCCTGTACAGTGATAGTTGCCTGTCACACACAGTTGTGACAGTACTGTGAGAGATTACCACTCACTCAGGTTTTACAGTAAATATCCCCACACCCAGAGGACAATGGCCAACAAATCTTAGCTGTGACTGCAATATTCTGCGTCACTTGTGCTGCCACACCTTTATAGTGGCTACATGGAAGTGGGTAATTAAAACTTTCCAAGCCCATGGTTTTTCGGTTACACAAGGTTATTTGTTCAACTCAACAAAAATGACATTGAAGTGCATGTCGCTGCAGCACATTTCCCACAGTTTAGTTACAGCGTAAACCACCGCAACAGGGCTGCAGGCTGAGGCATGTTGTGAAGAAGAAACGACCAGTACTGAGATATCTGACACTTGAAGCACAGTTTGTCACAAGATCTGTGTGAAGTGCTTAAAGTCATGAGACTATCCCTGCAATAATACACGCTTACTCAAGAAGTGAGTCTGCTGATGAGGCAGAGCTGGAACAGCCAGGGTGTAAAAGGCAGTTTCATAAGGAGCACATTTTATGGTGATACATTTGACAAATAAAGGGACAGAGCTCAGGTGAAGATGTATGTGCTGCTCACATATACATGTGTCCACTTGCTCTACTATTGCCTGGAGGCCCCTGGTCTCATCCTCCAACTGACACCTCTTCGCAATATTCCGCAACAACAGCGGGTAGCGAGTTAACCTCTGCAGCGGCACCACCAACAGATCACGGAGTTGCAGCCTCCGGCACTGTTCATTCCTCTCGCACCACTGGGGAGAAAAATGGGAGGAATAGGTGAGGGGAGGGTGGGAAAACAAGGGAGGTCAGAGGGGTGAAAGAGCTCCTTATGGTGTTTGCTGAAGGAGAGGGGATGGGCAGTATGTGAAGAGAAATGACATCCATTTAGACAGCACTGCTGTTGTGTGCCCTCTCTGATACTTGGCCCCACATCGCCTGCTGTGTTTGTCAAGGTTGCCACCGCTCTGACTTGCACACACCAATCAGAGTTTACTCATATACCTTTGAATAAGATCCAAAGTCTTCTCTGTGCTTCAGGCTGTCCAGATAAAGCAGAGCCGTAGAGTAGTTGAGACAGTACTTCTGCATGCAGTGACATATGCTCTCCTGGAAAGCCTGCCAAAAGATAGGCGTGCTAAACAAATGCTGGCTCACATCAGCCAGTAAAAAGCAGATAAGCACATCATAAAAAGGCAAAAAGATGCCAATCTGAACACAAGCACAACAACACACCTGTGGGATGAATTATTTCCTCTCTGCTGCTTTGTGTGATGCACAAAAACAGTAGAATGAAGAAGTTTATTATTATTTTCTGGAGGGATTTTGGAGCTGGGATGTATTATCAAAAAAACAAAACAATCTAGATTGTTGAGTTTCAGAGGACGTATGAGCTCTTTAAAGCAAAAGTGAGAACATTTTTCATATTTTATTCTGAAAAGGCTCCTGTAGGGTGACAAGAGACAGACTATACTTCTATGTATTTCAGTCTTCACAAACAAATTTTTAAAATGCATAAAAGCAGTGTTGCACCATGAATGTACCATTTAACCAGCAACTTATTTAATGCAACCTAGTCTGTGTACAAAAAAACCCCAAAAAAACAATCATTCTTAGTGTGGATAACTAAGGTATGTATTGATTCTAATTAATACCATTTTTGATTATTGGTAATATTTAGTTAAAAAAATGACCAGCTGTTTTTGTCAATATCTGATCATACATTAGTGTTCGGAAAATATACATAATGACACATCTCAGTTCAGTTTAAGGTGATCAACAATCTCCAGCATATATTTTGAAAAGTAAGGGTGAAATGGTTCCTCTGACATTTTATCACTGGAATTTTACAGCTACTGTAAGTGAATTATGGAGTGTGGACTACAGTCAGAGTCGGCGTGTTAACCTGTGTCCACAGCTGAGTCACATTTACCTTGCTCAGCAGCTGCAGCAGGGCGGGCCCGCCACCCGCGCTGCTCTCCAGCGTGTTCTTGATGACGCGGAGGAGGTTGTTCAGGAAACTAAAGCTCACCTGCAGCAGAGAACACTCAGTGTCACATGCAAAGCCATGAGACAGCTTCTCTGCTAGAGCAACTAGTCATGCTATACAGTAGCTGTTACACGAAGCCAGATAGTTCTCCTGCAGAATTTCTCAATATTCTGATAGTGAAAAAAGTCAGTCACAATCGCTTTTCTTATTTTACAGAAAACTTAACATTAGCACTATGTGAACGATCGATGCAGTCACACCTTTTTTATGGCATTTTGATTGTGGCAGCTCTTGCATTGTTTAAAGCTGCTCTCAAAGTTGTTAGCCTGAAATATTTTTATGATGAAATTTCTTTTATTTTTCTGATTATTCTGACTTTAAGGCACAAGGTATCTTGTGCTATCTGTTGTTACTCACTGATATTGCCATACTGTCCACAATATAGTGGTATAATTCCTCCCCATGATAAAAAATTGTCATCTTGCAACACTGACGAGAAGATATGCATGATGATGTGTTTGCTGACATCTCATACGTGCCTATAAACAGAGCAAAGTGCAAGGTGAAGTGTTGGACAAGGAACTAATCCTGAAAAAAGGAGCTTTCTCTGTTGCTTGGAATTGGTGCGGTTACAGATGTGAATCAGACATTTGTGATTTGCAAATTATGTCAAAAGCCAGTACAAACGCACTGAATTTGTTCCGCCACCTCAGGGAAAAAACACTGGGCAGAATACTAGGAAAACCAGAAGCTGCGTGGAGGACATGGTGGATGTTAGACAACAAACTGACGGAGGTGGGGACACCTGCTCTTCTAAAGAAATGATGCCAATAAAAAACTGTTGACAAGGAGAAATTTATGAATAAAACTTTGGATCACTGTTTTTTTTACACAGCTATCAGGCCTGAATGCTAATGTGTGTTGTGGGCAAAGCGATGCTGCTAAATAATGCTATTTTCATATTGTCATTTATATTGTTATCATAAAAATACAGGTGAAGATCATGTCATGCTTTTTAGTATATAGTGCCCTACCTTAATAGACAATGTTACTATTAGTTTACTTGAGCTCTTAATACAGCAGCATTACAGTATGTAATAATGCTATTACATAATACCATGAAGGCTGCTGTTGTTTGCAATTATTTACATATAAAATGAAGAGAGTTCATGCCACTTATTTGCATCAGGTCTCACCAGGCAAAGCTCGCTCAGGTTTGCAAACATCCTCCAGGGGTCAACATCAGTGAGGCAGTTCCTCATTTGCAGGTCTGTGAGTGTAGCCAAAAACACCTGAAAGCAACAGAAGATGCCTCAGAGAGCAAATGGGCTCAGGCTATCTGCTGTGCAGGCATTACATTTCTCATCCACTACTGTAAAGAATAGAAAGTCAGACTTTTACAGGAATGCAGCAGGTCGGTTAAAAAAAAAAAAAAACAAAAAAAAAACACAAGGCAGCAGGTGTTGGGTTTCACTTGGGTTTGGTCTATTTGTTTGTCATCTTGTGTGTGTGTGTGTGCGCGCTTGTATTTTGATGTACATGTGCATTTTGAGTCACCTCTTTGAGGACCATAAGCTGATCCAGGAAGTAAACACACTCGCTAGTGAAGAGTTCCCAGATGGCCTCTTGTCTCTTGAAGCCTTCAGGGTCAGAGGCAGTGCTCACCTGGGAGGACTGGTCCTGCAGGAACTCTGCCAGAGAGTAGTCCTGAGCACAGACGGACAGAAAGACAAATCACCAACACCTCAGAAATGGTATTGTAGGTTGGATCCGACTGGTTACGGCCTAGATATTCTGGTTCTTGCCCAACTTGATTTACTTAAGACTTGCTGGAGTTTACCTCTAACTGCCATCCTCAATCACTAGTTAAACATTGAGATCTATTTGTATTGGAAATCTGTATCTCCTTGTTCAAACTCAGACTTTGCTTGTATTACAAGTCATGCACAGAGCGAACCAACATGATGATTTACATAACAAACAGCATGGATGCTTAAGCGTGCTCATTTCTCACCTTATATTTCTGAAGGTCAGAGTTTCTCCAGTCTTGAATCTGTGCTGTAGAGAGATATTTTTCAATATCTGACACTGTGCCCATCTGCGGCTTCCCTTTGGCCTGAAAGACAAGGGTATAAACACACAGTGGCAACAGGCTGATTTTAAAAAAGGATTAGTTATGGGTGTGTACTGGGACTTGTTTGCGTTAATGACTTTTGTTTTAGTTAATGTCTGTCCAAACAACATTCTGGCATTCTTAAAAACTAAGCTAACAAGTTTGGCTCAAGTTCTGCATTTCAAATGTTTACCAATTATAAAAACTGTATGGGCCAAATGGGGATAAGAGGAAGCACAACGGTCTGCTTTGAGAAGTGGGTCAGAGAATAATGTCCAAACCAACTGCTCACTGCTAAAACAAAGTTCATCCAAACAAACCACAAGCATAACACTGGCAGCCACACAGCAACTACTAAGAGCCAAACAACACACCTACCGTATTACGCCTGGAAAAAGGCCACTTTGACTTCTTTGAATCTGTAGTTATCAAACATAAAATGCAGAAGATTAACAAAAGGTACATGGGAGAAGGTGTGGTGCTCAACAAATGGGATTAGAATCAGACAGAACATAGGATAAAAGCTGTGGTTGATCTGAGAATATAAATAAGTCTGTTAATCTTGTATGTAATTTCATATTTACAATAATGGCACACAAATAGTGTCTGTGGTGCCTTTTATCTTTTGTATTATTGTGATTTTGCACCACAGACACACCGATATTGTGCATTCCTTTTTATTCCATTTATGTGACACTCAGTCTCTAATATACATTTAATATTTTAATTACATAATTAATGTAAATTTCCCTGTTGCAGGACAAATAAAGGATTATCTTATATCAGCAGCAAATATGCCCATGTTACATTATCTTTTTAAGAATAGCTTGTTATAAAATGAAGACAACTTGAATGTGAATAACTGCATTTACATTCTTTACATTCAAGATTTACACATGTAAAATTCATTCAACATGCAATTTATTAAATGACTCATCAAGGATAATGAACTCTGACTGAATTCTCTGAGGTGTGTTTATACCGGGTTTTGTTCTGCTGGGACCGACAGGGTTAAATCAGATGCTTGGTTAATAGTGATAAATCCCATTAAATTACATAGTATAATGTAGAATTTTACCAGAGAAATTGGAACCGTTTAATATGTCAGCTGCGCCATTGGACACAAACAGGTCTCCTGGTGAAACATCCAGTCCGGGCAAGCTGACCACCACAGAACTGCGTCTTCTTTCTTGAAGCCTGAGGCAACAAAAGCAGACAGATGAACATCTTCAGCTTTGTTTTTTGGTTGACAGAATTCCTTTTGTCATATTATGTGGTTGAAATACCATCTCCATTGTGCAGCAAACTGTCGACTAACAGGAGAATCAGAAATGATAAAAGGTGTTATTTGTCTGGCCGCTGATTAATGGATCACCCCGTTTGTGTGGAAGGAGGCGAGCTGTCAATGTGTGCCAGTTCTAATCCTCTTGCTCTGCTTTTCATAGTCAGTAACCAAGGCATGGCTCTGGCTACATAAACACAGGCCTGCCTTTTACCCTCAGGCAAAGGTGAAACAGCCAATGTTGTCCAGTGTTTTACTTGAGAACTGTGATATTAAGTAGAAATCAGTGTGATATTAAGTATACAATCTAAATATCTACCACACACCTTCACTGATTACAAGAATAAAGATTCTAACCATAGTAAAACTTGACTCCAACAATCCAAACTGTGCCAATGCTAATAAGAGGCCTGTAGTCATTTAATGTGGGTGCAGTCAACAGAAATAAGGTGCATGGCAACCAGACAGGCCAGTTTTATCAAAGGTAAGGTTCTCTTTCAGCATGACGCTGACTGATGTTAAACAAGCTGCGGTTACACTTTTACATTTCTCAGGATCTTGTCTTTGAATAGAACAGTTTACAGCTCAGACACAGACAGAAAGGGATCTGTTAAAGGAGAAACAGTTACACAAAAGCTGAATCAACACAACCATTTCACACTATTGGTAGACTAACTGAGGGCTAATCTCCCTGTTTATGATGAGCATTCAGTAAACTGGAGCAGAAGTACATCAAACTCAACTGCACATATAGGCCACATGACTGCACCAAACACACAGGGTAAGTTAGTCTACAACTTAACAGGAGTAACCAGGTACAGTTTATTCCAGGACACTGTGAAAGCACCAACTGTTCTTTGTGCTACAGGAAGGGGCAGTGCTCTTCCTGGTAAACTGATACATCCCCATTCAGATCTATGTATAGGCAGACAGTGCTGAATCAAGGGTAAAACAGGTAATGGTCAGCAGCAGCACCTGAACGCATGTACAGGACACAAAGCAAGATACCAGTTACTCAGCTAAACCAGGTCAATGCCTCCTTGCAGTCCGTTCCATCAGCATCCTCACAATGACATCCTGTTGCTTTGTGACCACTCAGAAAGCTTTCTCTGTATCAGCCTCTCTGCCCATGAGAGCACTTGTGTAATAAATAAATAAATAAATAAATAAAAAATGGCTGCTTTGTTCTCACACAATCTGAGAAAAAAATCATGTTCCACAACAAAACTGTCCCAACCAATGGCTTGCAAGGCCCAGTCACTGAAAGAGGCACAATGCCAGGAAGTAATTACAGGGACAATAGCTGCCTAATTATCCAGTGAGGGGAAGAGCCTGGCAGCCCATTAGGAGGGGCGTGGGTGGCAGCAAGAAAGAACAGCCATAATGAGGGTTTGTCCAGCCCATATGGAGCCATGGGACTCCCAAAACTTTGCCCACCAAGCTCATACTCCATTAACAAAAGACATAACTGACAATGACTGCACAATGGGGCTCCTCAAACCAAAAGGACCAATCATACTCTTTTGCTCGAGTGCCCAGCAAGCATAGAAAGCATGGCACAGCATTAACAATGGAGTGACACATTATAGCTCAAACTGTGGTGTTAATGAAATGTACTGACGGATACTTTGGGAACAGGTGCAGCAAAGTTTCGTCATGCAAATTAGAATCAGAAGGTGATTTTTAAAAAAAGCGAGGGCAGGTAGCACAGCTTATCACAGACAACAAGCAAAGCAGTAGACCTACCTATTACAACAATGCTCGCTCTCCTGCAAACAGAGGAAAATGCTGCATCAGTCAATGGAAAACTTTCAATTGTAATCATAGATTAACTTCTTTTGTGCCTCCTTTAACATTTAGCATATCAGATTATTTTACACACAAAGATTCACTGACACTTTTTCCAGAGCAGTAATTATAACTATTTATTAGCACTATCTTCCTGCACACTCAGCATTAAGAGAGGGTGCAGGGAGCTCCTGCCAGCAACAACACCACTGTATCGCTTTCAAAGGGATTCAAAATTAAATCAGTGTTTTAAGTGGTCGCTTAGATTGAAAAGCCTCTGATATCTGAGAAGAACGTTGGAGCTCTATTGAGAATGTGCTCGCTTGAATACCATGAGCTGATGAATAGATCTCCCCATTATCTTTTTCCATCACTCACTGACCCCGCCATTATTGTGTGACTGCTGACTGCGGTGAATAGGGGCCCAAGGAGAGTACTTCCCAGGGCTCTGCAGGCAGTGGGTTCGGTCAGAGCTGTCAGTGCATGTAACTGCTGATTCATTTGCTGTCAAAAGCTTTCATTGTGAATGAGCACTGCAGGGGGCAAAGCAGAATGAGGGAGAGAGGGTTTCCACATGGAAGGAATGTGTAACCATTTTATTTGCTCTGGGTAAAAATCCACACTGGACTACAGCACATGACTCGTAGTGATGGTGGACAGAGGGTTGTGTGATGATTAGGGAAACAAACAAGTTTCAGTTAAAATCACACTTTAACCTACAAGTAAAAGCTCACCTGTACTTCAACATCAGGAAATCCAAAGTCTTTACTAAGAGTAGGATGAGCAGTGTGACATTCTTGTCTTGTGGAAGTGCTGTCTTGGTCAAAAGTCTTTGATCTAAGCGATCTAGTTCTCTGTTGGCTGGAGGATGAAATGGGCTGACCACCGTGATAGATCTCTCCATCGGAGTGGGAGGATGCTGCAAGAGGAGACTTGACTCTGTGTGCTGGGGATGGGGGGCTTACGGGGGATGGCGTGATAGCAGATGAAGGCTCCTCTTGTGTGCTCCCCATTCTCACAGAATCTTGGGACGTCAGAGGGCGTCGGGTGCTCCTCATCCTCCTCAAGGTGGGAGACGTTGAGATGCGCCCGGGGGCCTGCCGGTCAAACTGGAACAAAGGTGCTACCAAGCTGTCAGCATCCACCAGGGACGAATGTCTGGGTTTGGAGTGTGTCTGTGTGCGATTTAGGTGCATTATGACTGGGTTGCTTGTCTGACTCTCCTTGTGCTCAAAGGGCCCCCAGTCCGTTTGCGTCTGTGCATTCGCCACACCTGTGGTAACAACTTCATTTTCAGCCCATTCAATGTAATTCCAGTCCAGCTTCTTGTCAACGTCCTGGTCCTTATCCTGTAGAATAACGTGTTTCAGTGTAGACATTGTCACCTAAAAGGCATTGTAGTGCAGCGAAGATCAGAAAACGTGCGAGCTAACTTTCTGGTTCCTTTGCCTTCTCCTTTAGGTCAGATGATAACCCTGTTGCATTCCAACACTGTTCTTACCAGTCACCTTTCAAGCTTCTGGGGGGCAAAGCAGAAAATTGTCAATACACACAATCAAAATGAAGCGCACTGAACACAAACATGCCTCTTAATCTTCTGAAAGGGCAGTAGAACAGCCTTAAAAGATGCGGTATCATTATAATTTAGTGTGAATTAATAGATTTGTGAAGGGGGTCAAGCCAGGGGGAGCATAAGATGCTACAGCGCAGTTTGTAAAGTGTCCACAATGGTGTGTAAGAGACACAAAGAAGCATAGTCATGCACCTTAATTCAACTCTCCTGTGGCAGTCTTTTGTCCTGTCCAATGTTCATATATGTTCATTGTGGCGCTCACTTTTGGTACCCGGCTAAAAACAGTCCAGCTGTTGATTTTAATCCCATTTTTCAACCATAATAAGGTCATTTCATTGTTGCGAGCTGTTAACTGAGCACATCCACGAGGTAATGAAGGTAAAAGAAGAAACATGTCCGTAACCTTACGATAATCAGCTGAACTGAATCTCACATGTATGAATTCAGAAACCGCACGTGCCTGGAAAAGAATAATTTAAAGGAAATAAACCTGGGGTAGGTTAGTTTACCTCCGCCGGCGCCTCGCGACGAATTGTGCCCGGGAAAGTCCTGCTGGTGTCGGAGTCGAACGGAGCAGGGTCAGTGTAACGCTCACGGGGATTTAGAAGCTGAAAGACGGTGTTTACTTGTGACAAAAGACAGGTGAAGACCTCGGCTGGTGGGGAAACAGGCCTGCGTGGCGCATCGGGAAGGAGGGAGTGGAGCGCCTCACCGCCCGGTGCTGGTGGAAAGGTGCGACTGTCTTGCCTGTTTGTGTGACTATATTATCTCTCTCTCTCTCTCTCTCTCTCTCTCTCTCCGACCCAATACACAATAGCATTCACTTATACTATAGGCTACACAAAAGGCGTGGTCCTCTACCTTTGTCTAATCAAATCACTAGTTCTCATCATTGCTATTCAGATATCTCTTCTTATTATATAGCCCACTGGATATTTATTTGTTTCGTCCAATTTGTGGCAAAGACTGTTCTATGTAGCAGCTACTGTACTGGTAACCTGTCCAGTTGTATTATTTAGGAGGCCATTGTGGTAGAACTACCCCCTTTACTTAGGTAATAATATTGTAAAAATTCTCTGTTATTAGTACAAGTCATGCAAGTGACCTATTATCAGCAAAATATAACTAGAGCAAAAGTACTTACTATGCAGAATCATCCTTTGAAATTTGTATATAACTTGTATTATATGACTGGATCATAATCATTGATGCATTAAGGTGAATACATCATTTAATGTTGCAGCTGGTGAGGTGGAGGAGATACTGTGTTGAGTACTTTAATCTGTTAAAATAATTTTATTTGTTAATATATGTTTTTATGTAAAATGTGAAGTAAAGCCGGCAAATAGGCTAGTGGAGAAAAGAATAGTGTGTAGTGGGTGTAGTGTATAAAATAAAATAAAAATATTCACTAACTGAAGTACAAGTACCCTCACATTTGTACTTAAGTAGAGTACGCAGTATACCGCTGACACCAATGTGTATTTTGTTCAGTATGTATGCATATATAGTGAAGTAATATAATTTTTCTCTCCGTATGAGATAAACGAGAGTGGCCCTACCTTACTGGTCTTTATCTTTAACATCCTCTTTTCTGTCAGAGGTTTATTTGTCAAAAAAAAAAAAAAAAAGACTGTTACGCATGCCAAGGCTGTAAACATGTTACTTCCCAGCAGACAAAATCTATGTGTGCCAACATTTAATAGCATAAAAATGTTAGTAGCTATAGTTTCAAATAATAAAACTGTCAGTAGACAGACTGCGTATATGTCTTAAGAAGTCTGTCAGTGGCACCAGTATGAGACAAGCTTTTCTGGTCCATTTGTTTGTAATTAACACAGGTAAACCAGCAGCAGAAATGCCTGAGGATAAGTGAACATTAGAGGGCGCTATAGGCCAGATAACGAGATTATTTACAGCTGAGTCTGAGCCATGAATCAGACGTGTTGTACCCGGTACTTTTTACCATGCTAACTCTGAGAGACGAGACAGTCCAAGTAACTTCAAAACAGTGCTGATTTATTCAAAGGATCACAGGTAAAATTAACATTACACGCTCAGGTATCTTGCACCTCCAACCTGCTCGCAGGCAGATGTAAGATGAAAGACCCTGAACCCACCAGGCCTATACATTATATCCCCTCAGTTGGGCTAGCCCCATACTACACAGAAACGTCAACCGAGACATCTCTGTTGCCAGCTTTGCAGCTGGTCATAGCAATAGTCAAAACATGAAGCAAATCAATGTGTGAATGTGTGTGTCTGTTGGTTAAGTGGTGTGTAGCTAAAAACATTCTCACGACCTCTAGTAACATGTCGTGACTTAAACATAAGAACATATTATGGCTAAGGCTACAGTTATACACGTCATAATAATAATATTAAACACCCTGTCTGCTGACAGACATCAACTCTTCTCTCTAGTTATCCTTGACCAGATGTACCCTGTAGAAACTCATAAGCATGCCTAAGCATTTAACAGTCTAACTAGACATCCTATCTCCACTAAACATTTCTAATACATAAAGTATCTATCCAATATCTATCTGACTAAAAAATACCTCACAGGCACAAGGCTTGATTTCTAGCGCCCCCTGGTGCCTGAATATAGCTGAAATAGGCTATATTTACATTGCCCTGTATGCAGACCTAAATATATTCCGTTTATAAGCTACTCCGTTACAAGTCCTGCATTCAATACCCAACTTAAATAAAAATACAGTATTATCAACTAAATGTAGGCAACGTAATGTATCAAAAGTAAAAGTACTATCCCCTGATTGCATCAGAACATAAGTATAATTTTGTGTTCAGCTGGTTGAAGTGGACCTAGGCTGAACTACTTTATTTATGGCTTGGGAGTTTAGTTCAGTGGCTCCCATCTGAGGGGTTGGGACCCTCCACAGGCCCACAAGACAAATTAGGTTGTGAGATAATGGAAGTCGAAAGAAGAAAAAAGGAAGTTCTGATCTGTTTTTTTTTTTTTTTTTTTTAATGTTTGTTTACCTTTGGGACTTAACACAGTTACTCAAATAATACCCTGAGAGAAATGTGTCTTTGGTAGAATTACTAACAGAGACACCTGACACATGACAAACATTTCCAAATGGACAAGTTTTTTGAAGTGGCCACAAGCCAAAAGTTTGAGGACAAGAGAAAACGAGACATTTACATGTTTGTGTATTTTCAGAAGTGTGGCTGTTGTAGTGTGTAGACCTCTAAAGGACAAAGTGAAAACACACCTCTGTCTGCACACACATACATAAACACGAAAGTTTCATAAGCGACGCATATTGCTTCAATCCACTGCTCATGCACTATTTCACCCCAAAGCTCATTTCACCTGTCGCTGTCCATTATATTTCCCATTTTGATCTCCAATAAACCTTATCAGTTATCTATTAGGTTATTAAATTAGAGAATAAATCTATCAGGGGCCTGGCCTAAATAAAAACAAAAACCATGCATTGCACGGAATTTGCTCGGAGCCCTGACAGCAGCAGTCTCCTCCCCCTTAAGATGAGAAGAAGGAGCACCCCTCGGTTTGTCTGATACAGGAAGAAGTTAAAGAACTCTGAAAACAGCGTTTTCTTAAAAGTCGACAGCAGGTTTTTGCACTTTCGTTTCTTTTCAGTCGATTTGGTGAAAACTAACATTGGATCTGTAAGAATGAAGGTGAATCTGAGGACTACTACGAAACTGGAGGCGCTGTAACGTGCGGATTACTTCAGCCGAGAAGTGCCATTTGTTTTATAAATGGAAATCCAAGACACATTTTAAGTGTATCTTCATTAAATACAGAAAATGTCAGAGCATAGATCCAGTTTTCTTCACATTGGAGACATTGTGTCTCTTTACGCGGAAGGCTCGGTGAATGGCTTCATCAGTACTTTGGGGTATGTTCCTTATGCCTGCTTCTCACTTTTTACTCACTTCAGAGTACATGTGGCTTAATCTTGTCATATGTACTGCTTTAACCGCTTTCGCTTTACCTCCGACACAAGTTGGAGCTTTCTGCCTTTCTGTACGCGCACTGCAAACTGCAACTTCTGGCCGAGGCCTGTCAGCGTGCACACGGCTTCTCAGGGAACTGTTCACGTTTACGCAAATGTAACAGGAATGCAAAGCAGCCCGTTGCCCAGGTAGACAAGAGCTTGTTGCTGTCCCGGGGACCCACAACACCACTTGAACAAAATGAGGGCAGCCAGTAGTAAGTTATGATCACTCCCCCTCACCTGCAGACATAGCTATCCAGCTGTGTGGATGACATTCAACAAGGTGTTTTGAGGCATTTAGATGTTTACAGGTCTATGATTAATGTCTGTATGTGGGTTTAGTGAGCATAAAGTAAAGGAGTAACCCTTTTCTGCATTGAGATGGATTGTCCATGTAGTCTTCAAAGTTTTCATTGGGTGTGTGAACCACATTTTTATTTCAGAGAAGGTGATTTGTAGCTCAAAATCCTAAATTTGAACCTACTTGTAGAAACTGCCATGTTCAGTCACTATAGAGAGGTTGCTACCTTGGTAATGGGATAATGCTTCTTACTAATCTACAGTGTTTTTTTGCACTGCTTTTGTCTCAAGTTGCAAATAACTTTTGCAAACAGACACTGCTTCATTTTAATGGATCACAATAATGGAACCAATACTTTAAATGTAAAGTGAGTTTCTTTTTTCTGTAAGTCAGCGCTCATACATTTATCCAGTCAGTTGTCAGTCTGACTTCATATTTATATGTAGGTGTGATGGAAACTACTGTGTCACTCTGCAGAGTAATGCAAGAAATCCCTCAAGCCCTTTGATGGCAAGGTGGTTCTGAGTGCAACCTGGCCTCCGAGGCTGCAGAACAAGTGTGGAAAGATCAACTGGCCCTGTAAAATAAGCCTGCCCCACCCACCTCTCTCTCTCTCTTTTCTGCACTCTTTCTCACTTCTTCTTTTGTTCCTTTTCCTGACTTAAATTCCCTCTGCAAACAGTAACTTCATGACAGATCACAGCCTTTTACTGTGGCGAGTCAAAATAATCTCATATTTGAGAGAGTGGCAGCTGGTTTTTGTACGTTGACTTACAACCTGGTTGTACACAGCAGTGTTCTCTGACGATCTGCAGGTATGCACACAGGTAACCTTTATTTCGCTGAAGATTTCTGAACTTTTTAAAGGCCTGTGCCAGCACCACACATGGGCTGTAAAATTCAAAATGCAAATGTGCACACCTCCTCTTGTGAAGCAAAGTAGTGAAAGTCTTATCAGCAGTTCAATAAGTCATGTAGTTTGACAGGAGTGCTGAATACTTTATCAAGGGCTGTGGTGTGCCAGATCTCAACCAAGGTCTGCAGGAATTTCCCTGAGCCACAGCCCCTGAGGGCACAATGTAACCTCAGTCATAGCCCATGTTTACTTAGGATAACATTAAATATGTTGCTCGCACACCTTACATTGTTAACACTCAAATCAAGTGGCCTTTACTTTCCTTAAAAGGACATTACCGCTAGTGATCTTAACTATTAGGATCTTGTGCTTTCCCACATTTTTAATTCTGAAAGGGGGTTCATTTAGGAGACCTTTTTGTTTCATAGGGATTCACTTCATTGTGGACCTGTAGATCAAAGATAAAATGATTCTGTATCCATTGTTTTGGTGTTTTTTTTATATATATGCTTGCTTTCCCACTGGTTTATATATTTCAACAAATGTAAAATAATAGGATATGTTTAATGAGTGTGCCTCAGATTACTGAGCTGCTTTATCAGGAGGTTGAAACATGCAGTAAGGAAGTGGTTCTAAAATAT